CGTTTTGTATTCTCATGGTACAACCTTCTTTGACTGCTCTTCCTCTTCGTAAGGATATTGGGGATGTGGTTGGCATCCAATGAGTTCTCATCATTATACATGTCAGCTAGAGGTGGGAAACATCTCAGTTACTGTGCCGCAATACATAAAGGAAAAGAAAAATAAATACAAGTTGCATGCCAACTGAGATACCAGCAACGGATAGGCATCGTTCCGGTAAGATACCAGACAGCTACTAGGCAAAAAGAAAAAGTTATTATGTTTTACGCTAAGAAATGAGATCGTAGGTGGAGGGGAGTCTAAAAGGATGGGGAGGGACAAAGAAACTCACACCAGGAACGCCAATGAGGTTTCCTCCTTGCCATGTCAGCAAGTGCATCCAGTCAAACGTGTTCACCGTCTTTTGGACCCTAACCAGGGGGCCGTGACGCTCCAACCGAGGCCAGTTCCGAAGTGAGAGACTTCATTCCTCTGGACCAAATCATCGCTTGGCCACCCCTCCTCTTCTTCCATTCACACATCTCGGCGAGCATACAACGCACGTCGCGGGAGTCGGTGGGCTGACATGCGTAACACGTGGCCGAGCCATCGGAGCCTGATGCGTGAAATAACGGTGCTGAGCGGTTCATTTCCTTTTCCTGTGCCGTAAACAAGGCGTCGAACACGCTCGTTGCTCATGCGGTGTTCCGACCAGATGTGAGCCAAACTGCGAAGGCACCGATGGTCAAACGTAGCTAGCCTCTTCATGTCCGCCGATCTTAGGGGCCAGGTTTCACAACCGTACAGTAGGGTCGAACGTACTGCTGCATTGTACACTCTACCCTCCAGGGCGAATGTCGCGCCGCCGCCGTAGGTGGCGAAGGTTATCAAAAGCACTTCTAGCTTGCGCTATTCGGTTCGTGATCTCGTCTTGGATCCCAAGGGCGCTGATACAACTTCTCAGGTAGTTAAATTTCCGAATGACTTCTAGCTGATTCCCACCAAGGGTCAGCGCTGGAGGCGATCCCTGCCAATCCTGGAGGAACGCTTTGCATTTCGATGGTGCAAAGCAAAGTCCGAAGCGGCTGGCAGCTAGTGCTAATCTGTCCAGCGCGTCTTGGCACGTCTGGGAGCTGTCACAGATGAGGGCAATATCGTCAGCATACTACAAGACAAGAAGTCGTTCTCCTGGGAGTAGCTCCACACCTTCTAAGTCATGTACTGTAGATGCAATCTCCATGGCTTTGCAGTAGCGAAGTTGAAGAGGAAAGGTGACAGCGGGCATCCTTGTCTCACACCGCTGGAGATATTGTAGGGTGGCGACAGCTTGTCGTAAGCCCTCACTCTGCCTGTGCTACGTACGTATAATGCTCGGATAATATTTACATATTCCTCTGACACACCTTTCCTGCGTAGACAATTCTAAAGGCACATTGATCAACCGAATCGAAGGCACCTTTGATGTCGAGGAACACGACTACGGTGGGCCGCCAATATGTGTGACGGTGCTCCAACAACTGACGCAAGGTGTAGATGTGGTCGATGCAGCCACGACCCCGACGAAATCCTGCTTGCTCCTCACGAATCTGGATTTCACGAGCGCCAGTCAGTCAGTGAAGAATTATGGAGGCGAGTAATTTGGAGGCGATGGAGATCAGACTGATTCTTCTCTGGTTGCCGCATTCCGAACGCGAGACTCCTGTGAGGATGGGAACAATAACGGAGCGGCTCTAGTCGGTTGGGACAGTCTCCTGCTCCCACAGTTTCATTAGTAATTCATGTAAAGCATCAACAAGAGTAGAGCCTCCGAATTTGAAGATGGCTGGAGGAAGATCATCTGGTCCAGCGGCTTTGTTCCACTTCAACAGTTAGGTCTCACTTCTGACTTCTGAGCGAGAGGATGGATCCAAAGGTACAGCCCACGGAACAGGGCGATCACTGGCAGGCGAAGAATCGAACACTTCTAGCCGATTATATTGCTTTTCAAAATGCTTTACGATTCTGGAAATAAAGTGGCTTCGCTACAGTGTACAACGTCTCATGCGTTGTGCAACATTTTCTTGTGGCCAGGTAGATAAAACCACTGGGGTCAACAAGCCAGTATGAAATTCGTAGGTTCACGATAAGCTACCCACGACTCAACGGTAAGCGTCAATAGGTCAGCTTCCAAAACAGTCCATTTTACGCGTGAATAACGTTAAGAATATAATTAGTTAATTGGTAAGTAATTGGGGTGCGCTTGGTTAATTTATGCGAATATTAACGAGGAAGTGGCAACGCGGCTGGTTCCGTCCATTTCTGCCGGCCTGCATTACAGAGACTGCTACCACGGTGAGTCAATAGTGTATTGCGCAACCCCGCCCATTCAGTACGAATACACTGAACGGGAACCGGCAGCACCACGGCCAAGTAGGTCACGTGACGGTACTCGCAGGTCACGTGACAAAGTTCGAGGTGGACGTGCGTTACGGCACGTGTGTCTATGCGGGTGCTAGCTATAGATCAGTCGCCCACCGACACGGGTAGAATAGGCCGGCTTGCTGGACGTACACGGGATTGGCGATGCGTAGTGAGTGGTTTATTGCTTAATTGACCAGTTATTATCAAGTGGGCCTTCAATGCTTACTAGTCCATCGTAGTCAGCAATTGTAACAAACACAGCTAAACTTGAGTTGCCAAACAGGACAAAGTTTACACATTCGGCTTCAATGCTGCGATCGCGTTTGCCACACCAACCCTGAAAAAGGTACCCAAAAATTAGCACGAATATTTCCATAGGCATCTCGCAGACCAACAGGACAAAAAGACATATATCATTGTTTATAAGTGTCCGGCCATCCAGCTGCTATTCAATTACACAGAATTCTGAGAAACCGAACATTATATGATTTCCGAAATGTACAGCCGTGATCCTCAAGGAAATAAACAAAGTGTTGCAAGGTAAACATTTCCTCCCACATGGTTATAAGTTGCTTCATTACCAATTTACACTGCGAACTTTTGTAGGATGTTATTGCACCAGTTACATTCTCCGCCTTCTCCCAACCCCGTCTTTTTCCTTCACACCAATAGACGGATGTTCCCCTCCTTCAAGGTCAAGGTGCGCGGACTCGATCCGACTGCCAAGTACATCATGCTGCTCGACTTGGTAGCGCGAGACGAGCACCGGTATAAGTTTCACAACGGCAGATGGACCATAGCTGGAAAGGCGGACCCCGACCCTGTTGTACGAAAGCAACACATCCATCCGGATTCACCAGCTACCGGCGAGGAATGGATGCAGAAGTCGGTATCGTTTCACAAATTGAAGCTGACCAACAACGTGGTCGAACATCAGCCATTTGTAAGTGCTTACATGAGATAACGATAACAGAGGTGTCGCTGACAAGTGGTTAAGATAATCCCATTGAACAATGAACAATGAACAATGATTTATCACGGGATAAAAGCAAGTGCTTGACACGTCCCGTAGGATGGTTGAGGTGAATTTGAGGTAATCAAAACATGTCTGGGTCATCTATCGTACGTCTGCCGAGATGAATAGTTTCATAAGTAACATCAGTGTAAAATTAAAATAAATTATCGAGCGTAAACGTTCAGAAAGACACTGGGGTGCAGTGATCATTGAGGTGGGGAGTGAGAAAAGTGAAATATGGTCGCTCACTTAGGTCCGTTTGATACGTAAATGCTGTTGAAAAGCATGCTTGGCATAATCCACAATAGGGGAGTTTAGGTAACAAAATGTTGGGAGCTAAGGGCAACATCTAGTCGTTTTTTGAAAATATCCAGGGTAGAAGAGGATACAACTGAGTCTGGGAGTGCGTTCGAATGTTTGCAAACCCGAAGGGAAAAGTAATTACTTCGACACTAGACGGCTATATTGTTCCTTCAACTTTAAGCAGTTACCCCTGAGTTGCGTGTTGTGACTAAGTTACAGCAAATGGCGGTATAGGTAGTTGGAGTCACTCAATATGTGATACGCTTATATGAGATCGCCGCGCAGTCTTCGATAGCGACCGCTGAAAATTCCCAGCAACTTCAGCCTTCGGTGGTAAGAGTGATAGCGCAGGCCCTTTACATTCTTTGTTGCTCTTCGTTGTGGTGCCTCTATCGCTTCTAGGTCACGCTTCAACCAAGGTTGCCAAGCTTGCATAGCGTATTCAACATGCAGGCGCACGTAGGAATTGAGCATCATTGGGAAGATTGATGGGTCAAATCTCCCGAATGCTCTTCGCAGCATGCCGACATGCTGGTTACGTCTTTTCGCAGCTACTTTAGCCTGTTTTGAACACTTGAGGTCGCTCTGTACCATCACACCAAGGTCACGTTCCTGGGAGCTATTCTGCAGTCCGTTGGTCCCAAGTGATTAGGTGTAGTTATGTCTATGGCCTAATTGTACAACGCGACATTTGTCTACATTGAACGGTAGGGCGTTTGAACTGACCAGTTCGACACTGTGGTAAGATCGCACTGGAGCCGTTCATGGTCGTCCGGCCCTCTGATCCTTCGCCATATCTTGATACCATCAGCGAAAAATAGGAAATCGGAAGTAATTGATCTCGTTAAATCGTTAATGAACACGAAGAATAGACGAGGTCCAAGAACTGAGCCTTGTGGTACTCCGCACGCCACATCGATTGCATCAGACAATGATACTCGGACTCTCACCACTAGCCGTCGTTCTTGCAGAAAATTGTCAATCCAACTCAGGATTGGGTCTCCAATGCCGTAATTCCGCAGCTTCTGAAGACAAATGCGATGGTTTAAGCGATCAAATGCTTTTGGAAAGTCCAGGTAGATGACATCGACCCCCTACTCCATCATCAACAGCTTCAGTCCAGCTGTTACGTGCAATTAATAGGTTAGTATTACATGAATGCTTTTGATGAAAGCCATATTGCTCTGGGGCTATTAAATTGTGGCTTTCCAGATATTGCATCAACGCATCTGCGATGATTAATTCCATCACTTTGGATGGTACGGGAAGTAGTATTGTTGGATGGTAGTTGGCAGGATCAGTACGGCTACCTCCTTTATGGATAGGAGTGATGACCCCTTGCTTCCATACTGGTGGAATAAGGTTTTCCTCCAGACATCGCTGATAGAAAACAGCCAGTGGTTCTGCTAGGTCACTAGCTACCGCCTGCAGAGCCTTTGGTCGGATGTTGTCAGC